CATCTTGCTGTCGCTTGGAAGCAGTGGCTGGAGAATTGCAGGGTGCCAGGTCTGACCTCAAGGGCCCATGCACCATGCTCCTCTCAGCCAGCCCCCCTGCTCCAGCTAGTTATAATCTGTGGGAGCTCCTGTTCCCACCTGGACTTGCGGTTTTTCTAAGATGAGGTCTGATGACAACTTGGGAGCAAAGGAGAAACGCCTTCCCATGTTCCTTGGGTTCACAAACGTGCCTTACAGTGTGGGTTTTCTGGCGGAGCAGCTTTCACGGGTTGAACCTCGGAACCACCTGGAATGTTTATTAAAATGCAGCTTCTGGGGCGCCCGGGTGGCTCAGCCGGTTAAGCAGCAGCCTTGGGCTCAGGTCGTGATCCCGGAGTCCTGGGATCGAGTCCCACATCCTGAGCAGAGAGCCTGCTTGTCCTTCTGCCTCCCAATCCCTCTGCCTGCGCTCTCGCTTTCTCGCTCTCTGGTAAATAAATAAAATCTTTTAAATAAAAAGGATAAATAATAAAATGAAATAAAATGCTGCTTCTTGGTTCTCAGTAGAGGGTCTGCAGAACCAGAAAGCCCAGGGAGGAGATCCAGGAATCAGCCTTTCCAGCAATGCCCCTGGGAGAGTCTCCTTCTTGCTAAAATTTGAAGCTGCTGTCCTGGCCGTCTGTTTGAGGCCTGGCAGAAGCCCTCGCCATATGCACTATACACATACGATTTCTCTCCATGTTCAATTCTGCCATCACTTAAATCCCTGTGGTTTCAGTTCTCTGGCACTAAAGATGAAGCTGCCACGAAGGACTGCCACAGTCGTTGCCCCTGAAAACCAGTTTTTGGGAGGAGAGCTCGGGACTGCCTTTGAAGAGCCGAGCACCCGCTGAAAACCCTTTTGTGCCCAGGAGGTATAAGGGGCCTCCTGGGATGAGATCCTGCTGTTGAAGCCAGGTAGATGATTTGAGAAGCTTGTTTTGCTTCTCTGAGATCTCCAGAGTGAGGGATCTGAAGTTCACAAACAGGCCCAGAGCAAAGAGATGGACTGAGCAAGAATTTCAGCCCCCCAGTAAGGGTTATGGTCCCCAGGTCGGAAACCCAGATGAAGTCATGGCCCAGAACCCTCAGCAGGAGGGTTTTGAGGGGCTACTTGCCTCTTCCCTGCCCCAGCCTGGCCTCCACTGCTGTGAGCCCACGTTTTCTGATGGAAGATTCCAGCACAGGGTGTACACTGTGACGTTGGACAGAACTGCGCTCCAGGGCTGGCCTTACCAGTTACTAGCAGCGTGGCCTCGATTCTCCGAGCCTCTGTTCCCTCCCTCGTTGGGGCACAGAGCACCACACTACGTCCCTCCTGTGCAGTTTATGAGGCTGAAATGAGAAGGTGAGCCTTAAGTGCCCAGCACACAGTCTGCTCTGCCTTGGGGAAGGGTTCTCTCCCATTTGCCCTCTGCAGGCTGAGACGCCGCCTGTAGCTCATGCTCCCTCCACCAACCAACTCTGGAAATGCTGGGGGACTGTCCCTCAGCCACCTGCTCCCTGCCAGGTCCTTTCAGGGTACAGAAGCTGCCACAGGTCCTGGGCAGTTCCTCACTGCCCATCTGCTTCTCCCAGGTTCACTCGGTTCCCTCCTTCTCCTTTGCTCTATTTGGACTTTTGTGATCACGTCTCCATTCAACAAGAACACTTAGAAGTCAGGGTCCCATGTTAAGAATCCCATTAACAATCAGGGAAAAGAATTTAAAGAGCTGTTAACAAAGCTTAGGTATTAAAACTCCCCCACCCTTCCGTGCAGAGAACTCACCCGGAACCTAATTGTTCTTACTTTGGAAACGATTGCAACAAACCTCAAATTAGAAGCAGGAGAGCTTTTCGAAGCAGGAATCTAAGCTTTGGCACATAAGCTTTGGCTGATAAGAGCAAGAAGAAATCGTCAGGACCGCAGAGTGAAATGAGAGGCAGAAAGGGCGGGAGGGAGTTGGGGAGAGAGGGAGGGAGGAGTGGACACAGGGACAAGACTTAGCAATCCAAGGTCATTCATTGAAGGGCCACGATTCTCAGAAAAGTATGATTGGGGATGCTTCCTGGGAGTCTGCAAGGTCAAACCTACTTTTCTATGATACTCAGACCCAGTATGCCTTTTTTCACTCCTATTCTTTCTAGGTTTACTGTGGAGTTTTCCAGAGGTTGTGTTGTGTGATGACACAGTAGCTCTGAAGGCTAATGGGATATGTGCTGGTGTGTTCTTGTGGTTTAAAATTTCCTCAGCCTTAATTGTGAATACAGTCAATTTTGGTAACTGTAAGGCACATAGGACAAAAGTTCTTTGGCGCCTTGATAATTTCCTAACGTGCAAAGGAATCCCAAAGCCAAAAAGTTTCAGAGGGATAAAGAGTCACTGTATCCCATAGCCTTGACATTCCCACGTAATATCAGAGCAATGTCATGAATTTTCAAATAGGAACCATGGCTGCAGGCCATGAGAAAGCTACCACGGTCCCCCGTGGTGCCTTCCTAGGAGCGTTTACCATGGCCTCCCTCGTGAGTAATTAGGGGTGTGTGTGTGTGTGTGTGTGTGAGGGGGGCATACCCACTGAAACAATCTTACTCATTTTCTAATCCCCTGAGTGGCACACGATTAGCGCTCAGTCAATATCTTAGAACTGAGTTAACCAACTTTCAATGTGTCTGCTGAGGGTGCCCGAGAAGTCTGTGATTCCATTTGTAAAGATTTCCTTTGTAACAGCTAAAATCTACCTCAGATGTTCTTCTGATTTTAAGTGGTTTCCTACTTTGAGGAAGGAAATCTTCTCATCAGAAACCTTGCTCAGGGGGCATTGGCAGGGCTGGGGCCGTGGAGAAATCAGGGTCTCTGGGTCCCTTGCACTTGGGCTGCAAAGCGAGTGGCGCCCCCTGGCGTTGTGCGACTCCACAGCTCTAGGAATCACACAAACGTGGAATCAGCCAGGTTCCACCTCTCTCACGCGTGCGACCACCCCACAGCCTCCCTTGGTCTCGGTCCTCTTCTGGAACAAAGGTATCCCAGCAGGACCTGCTCACAGATGAGACAGGGCAGGCACGGCCCCTATCTCAGTGCCCAGCAGCAGAGAGGAGCTCACGCGGTGGCTGCTGACAGCATCAGCCCTTAGCTCAGGTTTAAGGTGATGACGGAATGCCACAGAGAGATGGCCACATCCCCTTTTTTCCAACAGGTGCCACTATCTGTGCGTACGATTCTAGTTTTTAAAAAGTCCTGGCGTAGTCATCCACTCATGCCCTCTCTCATGAAACACATATGGAGAGCCGGCACTGAGAAGACCCCAGACTAGATGCCAAGGAAGCTGAGATTCCTGGGACGGTCTGCCCTATCTAGAGCCTCCCAGCCTGCTGGGGGAGCAGACAGCTCTAGAGACCCACCCAGCATAGACCAACCAGCATGCTAAACACAGTGACAATGGCAACAGCTGAGTTGGGGTGAGATTTACTCTCTATAGGGCAAGGCACTCCTCATGCATAACCTAATTATCTTCCCAGGAACCCTCTAAGACAAGTGCTATTATTACTCCTGCATAGAGGAGGAAACTGAGTCACAGGCTAAGTACCTTTCGAAGGTCTCACCATAATGAATGGAATCTAAACTTGAACCCAGCAGTTTGGCTCCAGCAGTTATGCACGAGGTTATAGCCCCTCTAACACACCCAGACCCTATAACTGTAAGTCGGAGTCTGGTTGTTTCTTTAGGAGGGTCCAGGGTAGAGAGAAGCCCATGGGGCTAGGAGTCCAGAGAATATAAGCTAAAGGCCTGGCTCTTCGGTGGCCTCTGTGTGACTGCAAGCAAGACACCGCTCTTCTCTGAGCCTTGGTTTCTTCCTCTAAAAAGGAGGTGTGCTCGTGGGACCGATCTCAAAACTCGTTGGTATGGCTGTATGCAGTCCTGCAAGGCAGTCTAGTGCCGTGGTTAGAAGGGAGGGAGCTAGGGCCAGGTGAAGTGTGACTGGCTGTGTGACCCTGGAGGAGTTACTTAACCACCTTTTATGCTAAGCCATAAAATGCTCGATAGTAAATTTAAATGCAGTTATAAGTATGGAAGGCTTAGCACAGCTCACGAGAATCGTTCAACACATTTATCTTTTAGTATTCTGCACAAGTGACTAGCAAGTCACAAAGCAGGACAGTACTACTACTGTACAAAGCTGGTCTAAGGCGAACCAAGTCCCAAGTTACTGTTTGGGACAGGGACACATCAATGACATCATGGTTGCGGTATGCTCCGGTCTTAAAGGACTGCGTGCTGTGGGGCTTGCCACTCGGTGTGGTCTCAACCAGCGGCGTCAGCGTCAGCCCGGAGCTCACTGGCAGTGCAGAATCCTAGGTCCTGCCTCAGACCTGAGCCCGCTTCTGCATTTTGATGAGCTCATCAGGTAATTCCTCTATACCCTCAGGTTTGAAAAACGCTGGTAAATCACCTAAAGACTGGTGACAACGGTTTGGGGCCTGGGATGGGAAGGGTTAATGTTTAGTTTGGCTCCCACCAAGGCACCGGAAACAGAAGGTTCCAGAGATTGAAGCGTATGAACCGATGGGACAGGAAGGCTCCCTTCCTGCCTGTGTCCTGGATGGCCAGGGGCTCCAGCCCGAGACCTGCACTGAGCCCCGAGCTGCAGCGAGGAAGGAGACCTGGGCCTGGACAGCCGAGGGCATGCTGGGACAAGGGCAGGCCGAGAGCCTCTATTCAGGTTACCTGGGCTCACCAGGCCTAAGCCGGGAGCATCTGTCCTCAGGCCAAGGCCGTAGGAGGTCTGAGGGAGAGTGGGGAGGTCCAGCGGAACGTTATGGTTAACTGAGCAGGGTTCTCCCTCGGGAGGCGAGTGGCCAGCCCTGGGACAGCTGTGGGAGGGCTTCTGAGGTCTCCCTGTCACACCCGCCCTGCCTTTGGCCCGGGCTGCCCTGGCCTCCAGCGGACAAGGGCAGTGCTGGGATCCTGACCCCAAGCCTCCCTCCCCCGTGCTTCCTTCTAGTGCTGGAGCAGCTGCTGCCTGAGCTCACAGGGCTACTCAGCCTCCTAGACCATGAGTACCTCAGTGACACAGCCCTGGAGAAGAAGATGGCTGTGGCCTCCATCCTGCAGAGCCTGCAGCCCCTCCCAGGTCAGCCACAGGCCGTCAGCCCGAGGCCCTCCGCCCCCAGCTCCTCGAGAACCTTCAGGAACTCCCCAGGGCCGAAGCCTCACAGCGTGCCACCAAACACTTGCAGGGCCTGGCCGGTGTCCTTAGCCACTTTGTTCCTTCTCCATCGCGGCTCTTCGTACCCCTCCCAACTCAACCCACTGATGCTCATGTACACAACACAGCTGCCACACACACTCACACACACACCATGCTCACTCGTGTGCACAACACAGTCTCACCGACACAGGACATCCACAGCAAATATGCCGTCCCGTGACACACGCCGCACACTCACCAGCAGCACGCTCTCCCGGACACAGCTCAGGCGATATACGACACACAGCACACCCAGGTACACCTTGTGCACCCCACGTACTCTCATGCATGACACTCCCAAGCAGCACACACACCACACACACCCCCTCCGCGAGGTGTACCCGGCCCTGTGGCTTCCCTCATGCCCCTCCAGGAACCCCATGGCTTCTCTGTCCCACCGTCCACTCTGCAGCAAGAGCTCCCCATCCACTCCTGCCTGTGCTCGACGCCCCAGGTCAGCCCCACACTCAGTAAACTCTGACAAGCCGTACTGTGCCCGTACAGTGTTGTGGGGGTCTGAGGGTTGAGGGCATGGGCGTCACTCCCTGGTGACTCTCTGAGCCTCTCCTCCAGGGACAAAACAGGCTGATGTCATCAGCAGGCCTCACAGGACTGTGGGAGGGTGGGAGGGGCGGTGGTCTGCCAGCCGTGCTTGGCCCTGTCCCCTCGCCCTCCCCAGAGCAGCCGTACGTTCTGTTTTCTATACTGGGCTCCGAGCATCATTTCCCTCGGAGAAGGAGATGCTCAGGAACGCGGTAAAAATCAGAACAAAGTTTGAAAACCAGGGAACTCATTTAGGATGTGCACGTGCTTTGTCAAAGGGGTCGAGTCCTGAGTGGGTTTGTGTCCCAGTGGCTGGAGGGGGAGACCCGGCTGTCCTCAGAGTGGGCAGCAGCAGACCACAGCCCCCTCACCGCAGCTGGGCTCTCCCACTCCTCATAGCCAAGGAAGTCTCCTACCTGTATGTGAACACAGCAGACCTCCACTCTGGGCCCAGCTTCGTGGAATCCCTCTTTGAAGAGTTTGGTAAGCGACCCTCTCCCACCCCTAGCTGGGCGCTGTCCTCTCCCTGCGTGTGCGAGCCCCCTGCCCCCGTCTCCGGAAGGGCCCTCGGATTGGGTGGGAGTCTGACTCTTAACATCGCAGCACTGAGTCACAATGGGCAAGTCCCTTGGCCTCTCTGGGCCCTGCCGGGTCTGAAAATCCAGTCAGAATCTGTATGGTCACAGGAAGTCATCCCCAGGATTTGAAGAAAGGTAGGGAGGAATGCATAGGCCACAGAAGACGCTGTCGCTCTGCTGCTCACAGCCGCTGGTGGTGGCCGCTTGAACCCCGGGCCGAGCCTCCCTGCCCCCCAGCAGAAAGGAGAGCTGCCAGTGGGCATTGGAGCAGCCACGCCGGGCTGCGGGCAGGACGTGTCCCAGCCCTGCTCCCTCCCGAGGGAAGACAGCGCTATTCCGCTTTGAGAAAGCTGCAGGTCAGGTGAAAGTTTCAGGGATAGAGACACTGAGGGAAGACACAGTGCCTTCATGACCTACTTCTTGAAAATCTCCAAAACACCACACCAGATACCACTTCCTTTGGCCCTCTTGGTAACCTTGGCAGACAGACAAGGCGAGGGATTATTTGGACCAGTTTACAGAGGAGAAGACCAAGTCTCAGAGTGATGGGGTCGCTTGCTGAGGGTTTCTAACGAAGGAGGTGGTAGAGGCCTCCAGACCCCAGGTCCAGGCTTCCTCCCATTCTACCGAGCTCATCCCTGGCTTCCTCTGCCCCCATGGCCTGCCCCTCGGTAGACTGTGACCTGAGCGACCTCCGGGACATGCCAGAGGATGACGGGGAACCCTGCAAAGGAGCCAGCCCTGAGCCAGCCAAGAGCCCGTCTCTGAGACACGTGAGTGATGGCCTGGGTTCCCACACCCTCCGGCCCTCTGTCCCTCCGAAGTGGCCAGCGAAGCTCTCCTGCCAATGCCTAGGACCCCCCTGGCTGTGCAGGACCCTGTTCTAAGGGGAGAAACAGGCTGTGAGAACATTTCAGTGACCCATGATGTGCTCACCTCGCCCATGCTGAGCAGGGATAATGTGGTGAACTGCCCTGTCCCTCCAGGCACAGAGACTGTCCCCCCCCACAACTTCTGATTGCCATAATAAACGTGGAGTGAGTGTGGGGAAAGCTCTGGGTCAGGGCTTGGTGGCCTCTGCCCTCCTCCTGCTGCTGTGCGGTCTTAGATGAGCCACCTCCCCTTTCTGAGCCTGTTTTTCACTTGCAAAATAAAGTTTTGGGCCATACCTGGGGTTCCCTGCTTTCGTGCACGGAACTAAGGCAAGGGGCTCATAATGACATTGAACACTGCGTTGACTGCCTAACTCACTATACTCATCGCCGTCCAGTGGTACCAACTGTTGACCCCTCACTGCGTCCTTTTCACGTTCACAATAACTGAACGAGGTTGGCACCGTTGTTATCCCCATTTTACAGGTAAGGAAACGGAGGCTTAGCGTGAGCACACATGTCAGTGCCCACAACTCGTGAGCGACAGAGCTTAATCCTGGTGAAGCGGGAGTGCCGTGGCCTCAGAGCCTAAACTCTTAGCCAAGAGGCCGTGCCACCTCACTGAGTACTGTGTCTTCCACGTGCTTGTCGTGCTTCCTCACAGGTGTGCTGACATGTTTGCAGAGCACTGCCGAACTCCAGTGGTTTTTGGTCATTCTGCGTGGGCTTACTTAATCTAAAGCCTAACGACATCTATGTGACCTTCCACAAAACTCTTAGATCTTCCCAAGAAGTCCTGATGCTGAAATAAGTCGGGCAAGAAATAGAGGACCAGGTGGCCTCTCAGGGTTCCCACCTCTGCCCTCTGCCCTTCTGTCGGAAGTTCCCGCTTCACATCTGCATCCCCCCTCCACCTCCTTGGGGCTCTTGCCTCTCTCTGCCGTAGCCTCCTTTCCATCACCCCACCGACTCCCTCCGCTCTCCTGGCCTTCTTGGTCTTACCTGCCTCCTTTGTCCCCCTTCAGTCAGCCGACCTGCCTCCACCACTTCCCCAACGGCCCCCGCCAGAGGACTACTATGAAGAGGCCCTACCCCTGGGACCGGGCAAGTCCCCTGAGTACATCAGCTCCCACAGTAAGTTTCTGGTCTCCCCACGCCCCCCCAAACTGGGACTCCTCTCCTAAAGCTCCCGTGTGTCCTGCCAGGGCTGGAGCTCCAAACCCAGCACCCACCCAGCCCTCCGTACAACCGGGGTAAAAGCTGCCTGAGCCCCCAGCCTATCTAAGAGGGGAGGCCAGAGGGCCTAGCCCCAGTGATCAGGGACTTGGTTCCAGCCCCAGATCTGTCCGGCCTTGGACATTCCCCTTCCCTACCCTGAAAATAAGAAGGGGGCTGGATACATGCATGTAATCGTGCAGGGACGTAATGTTTTTGTGGTGTTCTGCTCTCACTCAGTAGCACAGTGGATTAGTCTCCAACTGCCAAAAAAAAAAAAAAAAAGAAACAGGTCTCTCTGTGCTGATCAGAACTGAATTCCAAGATCCCTTCATTGATCAAAACCTCAAACACAGAATACTACCTATTACAGGATTCCATTTGTTCCTGAATGGGGTACGCACACACTCACGAATGCATTTTAGCAATTTTTCTAGGATGTACAAGGAACCATGAACAGTATTCCCCTGTGGGAAATTAATAAACATCTGGGGGAAGGGAACATAATATTTTCCCATTCATCCTCTTTTATACTGATCGTGCTTATCACCATGGCAATATTTTTTTATTGTAACAAAATACACATAACATAAAATGGACCATTTCAACCACTTTAAAGTGTCCAATCGGGGCATTTAGTACACTCCCCGTGTCGGGCAGCATCAGCTCTACCTCGTTCCCAAACATTTCATCACTCAGGGAGGAAAGCGTGTACCCATTAAGCAGTCACTCTCGTTGTCCTTTTCCCCTGAGCCCTTGGCAACCACCAATCTGCTTTTCGTCTCCGTGGATTGGCCAATTCTGAATCTTTCACATAAATAGAACCATACAATGTGTGGCCTCTGGAGCCTGGCTTATTTCCCTTAGTTTAATGTTTTCGAGGTTAACCTGCATCACCGTGTGAATCGGTACTCCTCTCCTTTCTATGGCCATGTCATGTTCCATTGTATGGATAGTTGTTCAGTCCTTTGTCAGTTGGTGGATATTTGGGTTTTTTCCACCTGGGGCTACTGTGGCGTATTATTTTTAGGATGAATCAACTAGTGAAAACAAAGTGGAAGGGTGGGCTTAGACCAGGTGGTCAGTGGTTCTCTTTGGCCTTGAAAGTCTTGCGGTCTGTGTTGCTGCAAACGGCTATTTGGATGCGAAGCAGATGACTTTGTTCTGTTTTATCCACTTGAGGACAGGAGAGGAAGGTGAGGACAAAGTGCTAAAGCTCAGATCAAGGCCCTCGGCTGGGTGAGGTTCCTCCACCTTCCCCAGGAGCTCACACTCCTCTCCACTGGGGCAGCGGGGATCCTGGGGCAGGAGGGAAGGGCGGGCCTCAGGAAGGGCCAGGGAGCTTGACCAGGGAGAGGGTGCCAAGCCCGTCAGGGAATATCCTTCCTCTGACACAGTGACCAGCCCTGCCAGGTGTTCAAGTGCGCTGCCCGGGTGTCCCCTCCCTCTTTCCCATCGCGCCCCGCCCGCCCCCCCTCCATCTCACAGGATGTTGCCGGCATCTGAGGCCGCAGAGGACCTGCTGGGAAAGGCAGGCTCTGATCATCACTAGGGAGATAGCACTAGGTCTCCCAGTCGCTGGGAATTCGAGTGCTGCTGTCCTCAGGAAACAGATGGATGGCAGGGGCTGGGAGCCCAGAGCAGCACTTTGAAGAACAGTGTGGTGTGAGAGCCAGTTGCACTGCATGAAGGAAGTCTTCCTGGAAGAGGGGATGTGCATCTATTCCCTGAGCTGACAACCTCAGTTCTCATGCAGCCTCTGTCCCTAGCAAACGGTGTATGGCCACAGCATCCCCATCTGTAAAATGGGCCTCATACCTACCTCCCTGCATTGTAGGAGTCAAAGGAAATGGTAATAATCATGACTGGCATCTGTCTAGTGCTTTCTACGTGCCAGGCATTGTGCCAAGAGCTTATATGCATTGTATCACTAGTCCAAACTGGGAACTGCTCCCATCACTAAGGCGAAGACCCTGAAATGCAGAGAAACTGAGACTTTTATGACCAATAAATGGTGGCGACAGATTCATCTCAAATCTGGTCAAACCCAAAGCACATGCCTTTAACCCACCGATCTTCAGAGTGTGCCCCAGGGACCATCTGCGTCAAAATAACCTTAACTGTTTAAAAAAAAAATCTGATTTCTTGGCGTTCCATATAGTTTCTATTTTTACAGGTTTTTAATGTCCTATTAAATAGGTTTTTTTTATTTTTTTATTTTTTTTTAAAGATTTTACTCATTTATTCGACAGAGAGAGAGATCACAAGTAGGCAGAGAGGCAGGCAGAGTGAGAGAGGAGGAAGCAGGCTCCCCGCTGAGCAGAGAGCCTGACGCGGGGCTCGATCCCAGGACCCTGAGATCATGACCCGAGCTGAAGGCAGAGGCTTTAACCCACTGAGCCACCCAGGCGCCCCAAATAGTTTTTTTTTTAAATGTCGATTCCTCAGCTCAGTCCCCACCGGTGAATCAGAATCTCTAGGGAGATAGCCCAGGGATCTGCATTTTAAAGAGACCCCAGGTAAATCTGAGCAGAATACAGTGCCACATAGCCCCCTCCCCTGCACTGTGTTCCCCCCTGAGTGGGAATGTGCTGGGAACATTCCATGGAACATTCCAGCTGTTGTGTTCACTGTTGTATGCACTTCCATTACCTCCTCTAGTCCAGTTCCTGCCCGTAGTCACAGAGGTTTGGGAGAATCACTGTCACAGGAGAGAACACATGTATCAGGAAGGGAGCAGAAGGACCGAGGTGGCAGAAGATGAGGGGGTGCTGAGTCCAGACAGCTAGAGTAACGTATAGGGAAATGGCTGTGACCAAGACACACACACACACACACACCAGTGCTGTGGGATCATTGAGGAGGTGCTGACCATTCTCTGTCTGAGAAGGTCAGAAGAAGGATCTTTGAGTTGGGTATTGAAGGATGAGTAGGAGTTCTCTAGCAGAAGCTAAGAGAGCACGCAGAATAGCATAAACACAGCCCTAGAGGTGTGACAGGGCCCAAAAGGGCAGCTTCTGGTGACAGGAGCACAGAGAGCTTGTGGGGAGCTAGAGCAGATAACATGCAGAGAGGAGGCCCCTTATCCTGGCAAGGAAGCTGTACTCTATCTTCCCCAAGGAAGGGCAGGGTGTCTGGAGTTTTCCCCTGCAGCCTGCCTGTCTTTCTTCAAGGTGCCGCTCCTTCCACCAACCCCACAGATGGCTGCAGCCCAGCCCACTCCATCATGGATGGCTACTACGAGGATACAGATAGCAGCTACCCCGCGACCAGGATGAATGGGGAGCTAAAGAACTCCTGTAAGTACTGGGAAGGTGTTCAGAATGGGCCTAACCTCAGAGAACAGGCCTTGACCTGACCACTGGCACGCACGTGCACACCAGCCCCTCTGGGTCACCACAGAGGCCCCAAGCCCTTGTACTCAGTGATCCCAGGGTTCAGTGGAAAGACCACCGGCATGGGAGTCAGGAGCCCTGGATCTAGCCCTTGCCCTGACCCTTGGTGACTGACCTTGAATGAGTCTTATTCTCTTTGAGCCTCCAGTTGCCTTCAGTATAAAATAGGCATTTGCTGGGTTCTATGAGAGTCACCTGCGACTAAGGACATGACGATGACGGGGTATGACAGTAGCTGCTGTTAGCAGAGCGCTCACCGGGTGCCAGATACTGGGCTGAATGCCCTGTGGTCACTGATCCTAATAGCCTGATGAGGGAGATAGCGTCATTGACCATGACGGTCTCTCTGATAAGAAAACTGAAACTCGGAGAAGTCACCGAGGTCACAAAGCCACCGGTAAATCTGTACAACACAGTGCCCGTGAGGGGTGTAGCGATCACCGCGATCACACCTCATGTCCACCCCTCCTGGTCCCCGAATCCCAGGGCAAGGACACCTACAGAAAGGTAAGAAGGTGCCTCCCAGGGGAGAAAGCAGTAACAGGTCCTTTCCCGTGGCTCCCGCAGACAATGACTCGGACCCAATGAGCAGCTCCTACGAGTCCTATGACGAGGAGGAGGAGGAAGGCAAAGGGCCGCAGCCCACACACCAGTGGCCCTCAGAGGAAGCCTCCATGCACCTGGTGAGGGACTGCAGGATATGCGCCTTCCTGCTGCGGAAAAAGCGCTTTGGGCAGTGGGCCAAGCAGCTGACCGTCATCAAGGAGGACCAGCTCCTGGTGAGTGGCCGCGGAAGTGTGCCTCTAGGCCTCACATGGACTGCTTGTGTGTGTGTGTGTGTGTGTGTGTGTGTGTGTGTGTGTGTGTGTGTACAGATGTGTCTGCCTTTTCCTCTGGGCTTGCTTTGTGCACACAGGCTCAGTGCTTCTGAGATCAGGGCTCTCCCACTGGAGCAGAATGAAAACACACACACACACATTCAAAGACCTGATACAGACTTTGCCAAGTTTTTGTTTCACTGGGAATGAGTTTTTTATCTGTTTAAAACAATGTTTATTGTCTTCATTATGGAACTAAATGTGTTTATGTATAAACCTAGAGAAAAACGTAATGAAAATGATTTTTAAAGCCACCTAAAATCCCATTGACCAAAAGCCAACCACTGGTAAGTTTAATATCCAGGTTTCCACTCTCATTTTTTCCATTCATTTGCCTTTTCTAAAACTGAAGCTGTGAAGCATTTACTACAGAACTTGGTTTCTTAGCTTTCTTTTAATCTGCCATCTCTCATCACCATAATTTCATAGAAGAAAAATGTACCTTTAATTCCAGAGTAGGAATATAGATATTTAAGAAAAAAAAAACAATAGTTATTTACCCCCAAATCCATAGAGAAGCCTTGTCCAGCATATAACCATTTGAAACATGATTTTTTTTCTCATCCTGGAGCAGTGAAAAGCTCACCCCAGGCCAGAACCACTCCAAAGGTCATGACTTACTTCTTCCCACTCCTTATGCCATTTTTTCTTCTTGGCATATTGCATTGGTTAGGATCTCCAACACAATGTAAATAGAAGCGGTGAGAGCAGGCATCCTTGTCTCAGTCCAAAGCTCAAAGGAAAGTTGCAATAATTCACGATTAAGGCTGATGTTTGCTGTAGGTGGTTTGTAGAAGCTCCTTATCACATTAAGGCAGTCCCCTCTATATCTCTATTTTGCTAAGAGTTTATATTACAAACAGGTGGAAAATTTTACCAAATGCCTTTTCTGTTTTTATTGACATATGTGGCTTTTCTCCTTATTTTCTATTAATATGATGAATTATAGGATTGGTTTTGAAGGCTGATGCATTCTTGAAATCCTAGAATAAGCCCTATTCAGTCTTGATACAATATGCTTTTATATGTGTCTGGATTCTATTTGCTGGTGGGTTTTTTAAGGGCTTTTGCAACCATATTGAGATCAGCCTATGATTTTCCCTTTTTGTAATATCATTGTCAGGTCCTGGTATCAAGATTACCTTGATGCTGGTTTCGTAATAAGAATTGGGAAGTGAGAATCATTATTGATAAATAACTGACTTCCTAAGCCCAGCACTCCATCTCTGCTAGGATTCTCTCTGCTGCATTCCTACTAGGTAACTCATTAGTAGCAGGGAGCTGGTTCCCTTCTGAGCCAGCTTGTTTCTTCTCTGGTTCTTTAGACTAGAATGGTCTTCCTAGGATTGTGCTAAATTCTGTCTCTTCCTAATAGATGGCTATGCCCCTGGGTGGCTCTTGAGATCTAAAGGGTATCCAAAGGCGTCCCCCTTCCAGGCTTCTCTTCTCTGGGAGTGAATAACCACATCGCCTGTCTTCATGAGCCGGGTGTGGGGGGATAGGTCGAGCTCTCCCAAGCCTTTGCGGGAGGGCATCTCCCTCCCCTGCCCTTCAGTCCAGAAAGATGACCCCTTCTCTTCCTGTCCAGTGTTACAAAAGCTCCAAGGACCGGCAGCCGCATCTGAGGCTGGCGTTGGATGTCTGCAGCGTCACCTACGTGCCCAAGGACAGCCGGCATAAGAGACACGAGCTGCGTTTCTCCCAGGGGGCTACTGAAGTCTTGGTGCTGGCCCTGCAGAGCCGGGAGCAAGCCGAGGAGTGGCTGAAGGTACATGGCCCGGCCCTTCCTTCACCCCCTTCCCCAGGCCCAGCTTTCAGCCAGGTGAGCTCCAGTCCCTGGAAGAACAGGCCTTGCTCGGGGGAGGGGTGGCGATCAGAGTCCCGTGCACGGCTCTGACTGACCTGTGGAGGTGGGCTTCAGACATCTCCAGGAGACAGACCTCAGGCTGGAGTACTGCCTTCCTTCTAGTGCTCTGAAGCCTCTTTCTTACGTCCTTACTGTGGGCTTGTCCAGCCTGGAATATGCCTCCTGGAATGGGGAGCTTAATATCTTTGAAGGAAACACATTTTATCGTTAGATAAGCTAATCCTTTAAAAAAAATTAGAAAGGAAAAATCCTTCCTGTCTCAGGTGAAATGTGTATCCTTGTAACACCCACCTGTGGTCCAGCTTCCACATCTTGCCTCTGACTGCAGAGCAGTGAGTTACCGTGTACTGAGCACGTATCTTATGCCACACATTGTGCTAAGAGCGTTATATACTTGACCTCATTTACTCTTGGCAGTGGGACTATTATCGTTCCCCTTTTACAGATGAGGAAACTGAGTCCCAGGAATCTTCTGTGACTTGCCAAATGTCACTCGACCAAGTCATTGGGGGCAAGATTAGGAGCTACCAAGGAAATCTACTCCAAAGGCCATAGGCAGGGTGACACAGTGATGACAAGGGAGGAATTTGGTGGCATACACTTGAGTTCAGGTCTCAGGCCTAAATGGCACTTACTGGCTAGGTGATCTTCTGCAAATGACCTTGCCTATCTGTGCCGCAGTTTCCTCTTCTGTAAAATGGTTCTTGTAAAGATTCTGGAGACCATTTAATATAGTGCCTGCCAGACAGTAAGTCCTCAGTAACTGTAAGTGATCATCTTGTGATGGAGGTGGGGCTGCCCTCCCCAGTCCCTTACCTCCTGCCGGCCAGGGCCAGCCTCCCTGCACCCTGTCCTGCTCCCCCACTGACACCTTTCTCCCTCCTCCTCTGATCTTCCTGCTGGAACAAAGGAACCAGACCCCTCCTTCCCTCGCCATCCTCCCTTCCTTCCTGTGATAACCAGCTCTCGCCTTGGGAGGCTTAGTGCTCATTATCTTTGTCTCAGGAGGGGAAGGAAGGGAGAGAACCTGCCTGCTGGGGGAGCCTCTGCCCTCCAAGGGCCGGGTGAGTCAGAAGAAGGAGCCCTAGACTGGAGCCTGAGACTGGAGTCAAGCCTGGATTGGAGACTGTTGACATCCGATATGGGGGGCAGAGGGGTCATTAACCCAGAGGTTGAGGGCAGCCAACCATGGCTTCGGTTCTCAGAGCCCCATCATCCTGGTCTGTGACGTAGAGATCATAGTCGTCTCGGCCCCTCGAGGCCGCTGTGGGGATACAACAGGGTAATCCATGTAAAACCGCAGGTGGCTGAGCAACAGGGACTGCTGCCATTATTCATGGCCTGGGTGCTTCTGTGGTGTGAGTGAGCGCCTGGAGTCTCCGCGTCCACGTCTTTGAAACGGTAGGGGTAGCCCGGTGGTCTGCAGGCTGTTGTCAAGGTTCCACACCGTCACAGAAGCCTGTCTCTTGTGCTTGCACGGGGCGTGCTGGGTCACATGGCCCTTCACACCCACGATCTCACCGGTCCTCAGGCACCCCAAGGACGAAAGCAGAGGATAGGATTATCCCCATGTGACACACAGAGAAACCAAGGCCCACAGGGGGATGTGGCTTTCACAAGACCATGCAACTGATCAGCAACGGAGCCCAGTCTAGAAGCCGTGCCTCTTGTTCCCCAGCCCTGTTCTCTTTTCAAGGGGCAGATGCAGGAGAAAGCCTGTTCAAACCCCGATGTGCAGGAGGCCACATCAACCCCTCCCTTATGCTCAGGGATCCCATCCCCGCTTCTTGATGGCCCTGACCACAGACTGCGTTCTTCCTTCTGCCTCCACAGTAGCCCTGCCCCACTGCTCACAGCCATGCCCCCTCTCCGCAGGTCATCCGAGAGGTGAGCAGGCCTGCCGGGGCAACGGAGGGCGCAGACGTGCCCAGATCTCCTGTCCTCCTGTGCAAGCTGGACCTAGAAAAGGTACATCCATCTCCTCGAGGTCTCCTCTGTGCTGGGCGGCAGAGACTCTGCCCCAGGGAATCCACGGGTGGGTGGTGAAGCCAGGCACCGGCCTCATGCAAGCCATGAGCGCACCGTGTGGAGCTGGCACAAGAGCAGCCGTGAACTAATGCGTGCAGGAACGAATGAATGCCCACCTCCAAGGCACAGTGTGAGCCGGAGGAGGGAGTAAGTAACTCTTCCAGGACAGGAGGAGGGCACCGTTGAATGGAGCCATGAAAAGCAAATCGGAAACCGTCAGAGGAGTGTGCCACACTAGGACGGGAGTGAAGTGGTCACTTAGTACTTGCTCAGGCAGCCGGAAATCCTATGCGCTAGTCCCCTTCGCTTTGCCAGGTGTAGCTGGGTGACCAAGGGACTCAGCCCCAAACCTACACACATGTAATAAAGGTTAGTGTTTCTAGAATAAGACTGTGTGGCCGGCATTGTCCTGTAGGCTTCACATGTTATTACCTACTTTCATTCCTATGATGACTCTTCGACGAATTCCATTGTCAGGTGAGGAAGCTGGGACACAGAGCGGCTTACCCCAAGTCCCACAGTCCGTATGAAGGAGAGCAAGAATATATACCCATACACCTGGCTCTTGATGACTTTGCCATCCCATCTCTCAAGGTGCAGGGGCGAGCTGAGCTCTGCTTGGCAAGTCGTTCGTGAGCCCAGAGCACCAGGTGTTGTGCTGGGCACACAGGCACAATGCAAACAGAAACACCGTGCCCCCCCCCCCGCCGCTGGGGGGCGCTGCATGAACTCTGGGAGGGGAAAGTACCAGGTACCCTGGGAGCAACTGTCAGGGGCCAGCTCTTGTTCCAGGCATCTGGGAAGGTTCTCTGAGAGAGTGCATTCATGATGAGGGCGAATAACTCCAAAGGAAGGGGAGGACAAGGGCATTCCAAGCCCAGGGAGCAGGCTCCAGAGTAGGGGGAAAGCATGGAATGGAAGGTGGCCAGTGTGGGTGGACTCAGACAGAAAGGGGCTCCCTGGCCTATTAGAGTGGCCCTTTCCATGACCTTTCTGGCAGCCCTGAAGGGGACAGGGGTTCGCGCTGGCTGGGGGGGCAGTGGGGGAGGGGGAGGGAAGATGGCACCTGTGTTAAGCTTTGAAGAACAGGTGAGACTGCATGGGGGCAGAGGTGGGCCAAGGGGCAGGGGCTGCAAGGCAGCAGCAGAAGCAAAGGCGCAGGGCCAACAGAGAGTCACTGGGAGAGGATGGGTAGAGGGCTCTCATGCCAGGCAGAGGCTGGGGAAGATCAATCCTACCTACACTTGGCCCTTGCCATTTGTAAGGACTGAAGGAACGCAACGTGGACAGTGTGTACGTGTGTGCATGTGGACAGTGTCTACCTGTGTGCACGTGCACACACCCGCAGGCCATGCAGTGGTGCAGGCCCAGGTATGTGTGAAGGACGGGGAGGCGAGCCTGTGCAGAGGACACTTCCTACACTCAGTGTCCTGGGGAGGGTTGCTCAAAGGTTGAGGGTGGGATTTTGGAAGTGAGTGGGATTGGGGGCTGTGTGTCTCCATGGAATCCTGTATGCGAAGCCCATTCCAAAGGTTTCAGAGTGTGTTTTGTGTTTTGTATTCAGAGTGTGTTTTGTATCAGAGTGTGTTTTGTGCTCTATCTTGATGAAAAACATGCCATCCGTATACCACTGCAAGACAAATAGAACTATACGTTGTTTCACAATTTACAGGGGAGATCATTTATACTAACAGATCTATCCCATTTCGGACAGTGGCCATGTTTCCAGCCTTTGGAAATTGAGGGGAGCCCAAGGCCTCTCCTGTCTCTCCAGGCCCCCAAGTGTCATGCTTAGAGCAAAGCATCCCTGAGCCTGGTCCGGGAAGTCCTTGGCAGGAACAGTGGAGAGCCCTCAGAGCTCTGTTCTTCTACTGTTTAAATGTGTTGGTGGCATTTTAATCCTGTCCCAAGTCTGACTGGCACCGTTTAGCTTTTAAAGCGAGGTGGCAGCACAGCCCACAGGTGTGGGAGAGGAGACCATCTGTTGGCTCCCTGGGAAAGGGTGTAATTCGAGTGAGAAGACCAAGCTTCGACAAGAAGAAAAGATGTTCCTGCATTCCCACAGCTAACAGGTGGTACCAGGGACAGAATCTTCTCCAAGGTCCATCTGACCCTGCCCTACCACCTCCACAGTACCTGGTAGTCACTTAACTGACCTTGTCCGAATGAGCGAATGAACAAACAGACAGGTGAGCGATGGGTCCAGAGGTGGTGGACAAGTAAAGCTGCTTTGGCTTGGAGTTGCTGTCATGACGCATATGCGCGTCTTCACTGCCTCTTTACCGAGTCAGGGCTATGACGACCCCTCCGTTGTCACCGCTCACATTTCCCGGTCACCAAGTCTGAACACTATTCTGAACACGCCAACTCATCCCTTTTTTCTACATCTTGTCGTCTTAACTCCTCCCTTAACCACGTCTTACCTTGCCGAGGATGACACTCTTTAATGTGGTTCTTTTGCTGACAGTCTGTCCCTACGGAGGTCACCTAAACCAGTTACATTACATTAGTATCCCCACTTAAATCTCCCCAGACCCTGTCACCTACTGAATATGGGAAATCCTAAGAACTTATTACAGCGCGTTACAACAAGGTGCCTGGCTCCCCAAATGGACGATGAGAGATTCAAAGGCACAACTGCCCTAAGTCAGCGTGTCCTCCCCAGACCTGGAGTAGAGTCAGGCCCAGGAGAGATGCTGACAAATATTTGTTAGGTGATCATTGTGTGCAGGGGTTGGGGGGATTGAACCAACAAAGGGCGACTTCTGAGTGTGCCCTCTGACAAGAGGCTGTCTGTGTTCCTCCCCAGAGACTGTCCCAAGAGAAGCAAACTTCAGACTCGGACAGCCTGGGCAGGGGTGACAGCTGTTCTACTCTGGGCCGCAGGGAGGCCTGCGACCATGGTAGGAGACTCTGGGGGCTCAGGCTAGAGAATGTCAGAGCCGGGAGGGGCCTTGCCGGGGGACACGGTGCAGAGCAGGTCCCAAGGGCTCTGGAGATCTGGGGAAGGTCACCTGGCCTCTTCAGACCTGCAGCAGCCGTCAGGCCCCAAGTGCAGGCTGAAAGGGCCGTTGGGAAGGCTGGGGTAGGTGGGTCTGGGACGTGGGGCTCCCTCCCTTCCCCTCACCCATCTCCATGGCAACAGGCAAAGCGAAGAAGAGCAGTCTGGCAGAGCTGAAGGGCTCAGTGAGCAGGGCTGCCGGCCGCAAGATCACCCGCATCATCAGCTTCTCCAAGAAGAAGCCGCTGGCTGATGGCCCGCAGATGCCCTGCTCCGAGGAGGAGGTCCCGTGCTGCGGTGGGTCCTGGGCACCGGCAGGAGAAGAGTCACACCCTGGTGCTGTTGTCCCCTGGGCTAAGCAGGAAAACCCTCCAGGCCTCTTCCACCTTGCTCCCAGGGCAGAGGAGAGAATCCCACCCAACCCCCACTCCATCAACAATCCATGCCTTTCCATCACTTGTCTCCGGTGAGGCTCTAACACTCAGGAAAAGGAAAAGCCACCTGACTCCCCATCTCTGTGTTCCCTGTGACCTCAGCTCCAGTCACTGCCCATCTGTGGGCCTCAGTTTCTTCCACTGTGATGGGAGGAGAGCCTCTTATCTCCTCCCAGCACATAACATGGCAGGTGTGTAAGTTACAACCCAGTCTCATAGGGAAATTTCTCGGATAAAAATATTTAAGTGCTAACAGATGCAATCAGTGTGAGTTAAACATGGTTATAAATGCCTTCAATGGAAGTTTAACATGGCTTAGAAGGGAAGATATATTATTCTGTTCTCGTTAATGCAGTGTTCCGCATACTGGACTCCAATAGAAAATTCTGTATTTTGGATATGTAGTAATATTCCCTTAAACCAGAAAAAATATTATAAAACCACATGGCTATAAAGAATTATTTTGTAACCAGTGAATCAGGGCATGTTGTAGGAAAAAAATTATTTAAATCTAAAATGTTGAGAATGAATTCTAAACCCCTTGGTCATCAGCCTGTGCCTTGCTCATTTTAGAATTCTTTCTCTTGGCGAGATGCTTTTGTTCCCGCATGCTGCCACCAGGTGTCAGCATCACCCATTATTTTCTGTCTCACTAATCGGTTCAGTATTTGGGGAGGAGGAAAGGCAAAAGGGATAGTGTCGTCTTTTACTCACCTCTACAGTAGTCTCCTGCCCTTATCACCAAGCTGGGTGTGGTACAAAGACTGTGTAGCAATATAAGAGTGTGCTCATCATCCCCATTTCAGATAAGGAAATGAAACTCAGGGAGAAGAGGGTGCCAGAGGCCGCAGGCCCAGAGTGAGCTGATCCAGGACCCATAAGGCCTCTTTCCAGCTAGAGAATGAGGGTTGTCCAGGCACTTGTCCCTAAGGTGTAGACCCATGCAGATTCATAGCCCCCATCTTGGGTTTCCCCAGGGCTGGTTTGTCAGGAGGTCACCCCGCTGGTTTCCCCCTCCCAGGCTACCTGAACGTGTTGGTGAACCAGGGCTGGAAGGAACGCTGGTGCCGCCTGAAATGCAACACTTTGTACTTCCACAAGGATCACACAGACCTGAGGACCCACATGAATGCCATTGCTCTCCGCGGCTGTGAGGTGGCCCCAGGCTTTGGGCCCAGACATCCATTTGCCTTCAGGATTCTGCGCAACCGGCAGGAGGTTGCCATCTTGGAGGTGAGAGGAGAGAATCCAGGGGGTTCCTGGTGGTGTTGGCTGAGGAGCTTTGGCCTGACTGTGGGCTTTTGTCTTGGGGACCTTGCTAATGGACATTACAGAGCCTGAGGAAAAGGGAAAGTAAGCCCACGGGCTGCCAAGTGACAGAGAATGACTACCAGTAAAAAAAAAAAAAAAAAAAAGGACACCCACTTAAATTTGAATTTCAGATAAACAACAATGGTTTTAATGCAAATATATCCCATGTGATATTTGGGATATACCTGTACTGAAAAAGTATGCGTTGTTTATCTGAAGGTCGAATTTAACAGAGCATTCTGCATTTTTATTAGTTAAATCTGGCAACCCTAGAACCAAAGTTTGTTTACTCTCCCTTGTCTTAAAATCCCAAGCCCAAAAGGCATCTAGTCTGATCTAACCTGGATCTGAATCGGAACCTCCCGAAAACCTTTCCACCAGTGGCCGGCCGCCTCAGATAAACCCCTGCCCTTCAAGGCAGGCTGCCCCGCCCATCAAGCGGCTACATTTTTGGAAAGGTGTTCTCCATACTGAGTTGAAATCTTTGAGCTCCAGGAAGGCAGTAACCATGCCTGTTCTACATACTTTCGGTTTTTCCAGAAGCCAACATGATGTCCAGCCCATACTAAGGGCTCAGTTACTATTTGTGGAACAAATGGCCGAATGAAAACGTGATTTCAATCCACCCATTCATGGTCGTTCCTACCCAGCGGCCCTCACCCTCCTCTCTGTCCTGCACCCATGCATGGAGCCTCTCCTCCACATGGCCCTCGTTTGGCTTTTTGGGATTTAAAATGTAAACCCTGGAAGGAAAATTAAAGAACTACCCCCTCACATTACAAACAGGGAAACTGAGGCCAGGGCAGCCAGGTGCTTTGTCCAAGGATCCAAGGGTGTCAGCGGCCTCTTGTTCTGATCGTAGAATGAAAATCCAGCCTCTTGATCTTGTTTGCTTTGTCCAGTACCCAATGCCTCACCCAGTTCTTAAGTATCGAGAAATATTGCCTCTGTCACTCACTTTTACTTTTGATAGGTTGATAAAGGTCTCTTATTTCTCTTAAATTAAACAAACACAGAGCTTTCTGGCAAGAAGCATGCTTCCCTTATACAAGTCTAGCATTTGTGTGCCCAGCTGATTTTATGAGAATGCTCTTTAAATGAGAACTACCTAGAACTATGGGTTCAGTTAACCAGCAACTTCTTGGCTGTTTTCCTGTATACTAGTACTACAAATAATTGGCAGTTATAAGGGAGAAATTTCGATTGGGTAATGTGAGAAATAGTTTCCTCTAGTAAAAAAAAATAAATATTTTTTTAAAAATTCAGGAAACACCCAAATGCTGTTTTCACATCTAAATGGTCATGAAGGCTCTGAGGAGTGTGAGTGAGGGTGTGTGTCTTAGAGAGGTGGTCAGGGAGGGCTTCTCTGAGGAAGAGGCATTAGAGCCAAAACCTGAATAAAGAAGGGGTAGAAGCCACTTGGATTTCTGATGTGTGTTGGAGCCCTGAGTATTGGCTGGATAGCAGGTACTGTACAAATACGGGTTTGGCTGAAGTGAGCAGGTAGCCTGAGGTCGTAACATCAGCCGGTGCCTCCCTCCCGCAGGCAAACTGCTCCGAGGACATGGGCCGCTGGCTTGGGCTGTTGCTGGTGGAGATGGGCTCCAAAGTCACTCCTGAGGCGCTGCACTATGACTACGTGGATGTGGAGACCTTAACCAGCATCGTCAGTGCCGGGCGCAACTCCTTCCTGTGAGGGCCGGCACCCTGCAGCCCCCCGCAGACTCTCAAAGCCCTGGGTGCTGGGAGGGAAGGGAGGAGGAGCTGAGGAGGGCTCTGCTGCCTTGGGAAGTCAGAGGGGGGTGCCTTCCTCCTCCAGCAGGCAGGCACAAGCTGGCTAACGGAGGGAGCCCTGGGTGGGGGGGGTTGGGGGGTGCTGGGCAGTCAGTGAGCAAAAGAGCAGAGAAGCCGGGCTGCAGTCATGACAGGGCTCGGCTCTCGTGCCTCGGAACCTCAGGGCCTCACACCCTTGGCCACTGGGGCTGGTACATGGCCTGGAAGAGCCGGGTTCAAGTCATGACTCTCACGACCAACAGCTTGGGGCAGCTGCTTGCCAGCTTGAATTCTGAGTTCTCACTTACAGAATGGAGGTGATGAGTCACTCACCTCTTGCTTGCTGTAAGAATCGTGCAGCTGCTGCCTCTGAGGCCCTGAACATAGCAACGGCCCCGAGCTGCCTGGCATGGCTGCTGTCACTAAGCTTCTAGCACTCATCACAGAATCAAAGGAGGGTAGATAGACAGCTCTGTAAGCCACAAAGTGTCATCATCACTGCCATCATCATGACACCTTATATTTTCTAGATATGCAAGATCCTGCCAGGATCAGTGGCCTGAGCCCCGTGTGTACGATGATGTCCCTTATGAAAAGATACAGGTGCGCTCCCTTGGGAGGGCTGGGAATGTGGCAAAGGCCACTGATTAGCTCTTTCCTCTCTTTCCCTCTCTCTGCCACTACTTCTTTTTTCCTGTACTCAGAGATGATCCTCATTGAACCATCCGCTGGAAGGGGAGGGAGGACCCTTCTTATCATAGATCATGGCTCAGTATGGAATCCTCTGACAGAGGAGGCAGGGTGGTACAGCAAAGAGCCCCCAGATCAGGAAGAGGACAGGATTTGATGACTGCAAATCACTATGCTGGTCCAAGCAAGGTGTTGGGCTCTCTACCGGCTCACTGCTCTGTGAACTGATGCTGCTGACTCGGGGGTGCCTGGGAGGGTGGGGGGTGCTGGCCACTAACTAGGTGGCCACTCCCATAGACCTTCACTTGGTGGCATCCACAGTCTGGCCTTCAGCTCCCAGGACAGAGTCTCCCCGTTTGCTCACTAAATCAAGGAGATGCCAGTGAGGCCTCGGTAGCCATCACATGAACAGACTGCTTCTGGCAGTGTGTCCCATGTCTTTTCCTCCCATGTGAGAACAAGAGAGCCACCTTCTGATCAGACACTGGTGGGTGGGTCAGGCCTCACAGCTGGGGGAGAAAGAGGGAATTAAGCTGTCAAGGAAAGTAGACATGTCTGCATGCCAGTCCCCCTGCCTTGGAGACAGCTGGATGACCCCTAGCTCTCACCTCTAAGGCTCCCTTTTCTAGAAAGTTCTCCAGCCATCCTTCTTCTCCTTATATGGTCTTTCTTCAGATTCAGATGAACCAGCGGATGCAGCTTGAGATCTTTCTCAGCTGCAGAGATTAGTAGCCAGACAGCTTAGTACCTGATGGCATGAACTTTGGATTTGGGGCTGAATCTGGGTGACCTTGGCCTTCACTTCTCTAATCCTCATTTCCTGGCTTCAGATGAATACTATAAAACCTACCTGGTTGGATGACTGTGGGAACCAAATGAAATACTGTATAGAAAGAGTTTAACAGCACATAGACATCAGAAGATCTCACACTAAGTAGAGTACTACTGTTATCAATATCATTATTATGTTACATTATTATTATATTCCACTCATGACTCCCTGAGCTCTGACCAGATTCTGAGTGCCCATAATACTCTACATGCACAAATGTATAACTAGTTTAGTGGTGCCTGGGTGGCTCAGTTAAGCATTTGCCTTTAGCTCAGGTCCTGATCTCAGGGTCCTGGGATCAAGCCCCAGGTCTGGTTCCTCACTCAGCAGAGAGCCTGCTTTTCCCTCTCCCTTTGGCCCTCCCCCTGTTCACACACTCTCTACTCTCTCCTCTCTCTCTCTCTCTCTCTCTTAAATAAATAAAATCTTTTTTAAAAATGCAGAGCCAGTTTATTAGGTTATATAACATCCACCATTGGCCGATGTCATCCACGACTTCTGATCTTAACTGGGAACTCTACATTTAGCGATTTCAGAAAATGTGAAGGATACTTCCAAATGACGTGAAGACAGAAGTATCTATGATGAATCAAATATGCTCACCCAGAGCCCCCTGAGTCTTCCAGATTTTCCTCTCACCAGATATTCCAGTTTAGGGGCACCTTCTGCGGCCCTCGACCCAATCACGTGATACATACTAGTAGAAGAAGTCTAGAAACTGTTGAGTGTGGCCCCAGTCTAAAAATGAAAGGCCGTGATCTCAGAGGCCTTGCAGTGCTCACCCCCTCCACTCGGAGCAGAATACCCCTGCCTGGAGGGCTCTGAGCCTACCTGCTCTTCACCTCCTTTCTCCATCTCCCCCAGGACGAGGAGCCCAAGCGTCTCGCGGGCACCCAGGTGAAACGCCATGCCTCCTCCTGCAGTGAGAAGTCCCATCGAGTGGATCCGCAGGTCAAAGTCAAGCGCCATGCCTCCAGTGAGTTCTGGGTGGGAGTGAGGAAGGGAATGAAACCATCCACGGGGTCGGGGATCTCCAATCAGATTCCCCCAGGCAGCGCACATGTGAATTAATGAGCGAAGTGAGATATTAAGAAAACACTCTACCATAAGAAAAATGACAGCACAAGTCACGTGACAGAGGGCAGCTAGACTGTGGCCTCCAGAGGGCAGACAAGAGGGGATGGGGTGGGGAAAGACTGCAGGAATCTGGAGCTCGCAAGCTCCATCTAGAGGGCTCGCTGCTACTCAGCTCCAGCCAGCGGCTCCCACGCAGCCAGGCAGCCCAGCTTCACAGATCATTCAAGAATGGAAACCTGGGTGCCTGGGTGGCTCAGTGGGTTAGCCTCTGCCTTCGGCTCAGGTCATGATCTCAGGGTCCTGGGATCAAGTCCCGTGTTGGGCTTGCTGCTTGGCCCGATGCAGGCCTGTTTCCCTCTCTTTCTCTGCCTGCCTCTCTGCCTACTTATGATCTCTGTCTGTCAAATAAATAAAGAAAGCATTAAAAAAAAAAAGAACAGAAACCTTGCCTTCATAGGAAATCTACTGACTTCTTAATATCAGCAACTAGTTTTCAAAAATTTTAACACTAAGTAAGGCCAAATATGTTTTTATGCTGCAATGTTGCATATATATGAATACACATATACACAGATAAAATTCATCCTCAAGTTCTGTCTGTTCCGAAGTCTAAAAATATTTTCAAATCCTGATCTGGGGGAGTACATGGAGAAAGGAACCCCTCCCAATTCCCTCAGGGCAGCTGCCATGAAAGGCACGGCTCACCTCTGTGTCCCAGCCCACACTCTCCCTAGCACCCCATAGATGAGCTGCGTGAATTTTGCCCGATTGCCACACTGCACAATAAAGGCTAAGCATGCCAGACTCTGGTCAGTTCTGTTTGACTTCCAGCACTAATCTCTGCTCCTGTGTGACTCACAAGCCGGCCGGCTTCCTGTAGGACAGCATATTCCAAGAACCTTTTCAGTTACTGCTTTATAGTGCTTCCCCCTGCCCCTGAACAGAGTCAAGTTCTACTCCTTGCTTTTTGAAGATTTAATTTTAAAATACTTTTCTTTATTAGATCTCCACTTCAGTAATGTAGATTATCTCTTCTGGGGGTCAGAAGACCTGCATTCTGTTGCCCCATTTGATCATTAAATTACTAACTAACTTTGGGAAAGTCCCTTCTTTGTGGTTGTGTCACATTCCTTACACTATGCTCTCTTTGGCACTGGAAATACAGGCCTTTATGGAATGCCTATTTTCAAATGGAAATGTAGGGTTGCCTGGGTGGCTCAGTCCGTTAAGTGTCTGACTTTTGATTTTGGCTCAGGCTGTGTTCTCAGGATCTGAGATTAAGCCCCACGTAGGGCTCCACACTGAGCGTGGAGTCTGCTTATGATTCTCTCTCCCTCTCTGCCCACACCCCCCACTTACGCTCATGCTCACTCTCTCTCCAAAAAATAAAAATAAAAATTAAAAAATAAAATAAAATGGAAAAGTAAACTGAAATAACCATGTAAGATTAAAGAAATCATAAAACATTCAAACAACAACAAAGATCACAAAACATGTATTCTTTCCTCAAATGAAATGTTGTACTGATGATATATAAAAGAGATATAAAATACTGGAAATGACAGATGGTGGTTGGGGGTTTTAAAGTCCTTATCTGATACAACATAACACTGACAACACTTTGCTGCTTTATGCATTTATTTTTAGCTTACCAGGCTATAAAATCCAAACATCTGGGAGAAAATTCCCCTGGGATGCCACTGTGTACCTGGGAGGTTAGGGAAACTATGGGTCCCCTTCTGTGCCCTCCATGCTTTGTTTGTGACCAGGCTCCAACTGCAGGGTAGTTGACACAGGAATTGATCTTTGCATGTGTCACCAGGTGGCCATTGCAGTCCCTACAAGAGCTGGAGAGACAAAACCCTAATTATCAGTAAACCGAGGGAATCATTCCTAATTCCACACCCCACCAGCTTAAAGGACTGTAAATGACTGTCTGAAACAAAAACATAAATAAATAAAAGCTTCCCTGTAACGCTGGACTATGGCACAACCCCCCCCCCCCCCCGCCCACAGCAGTAATGCATGGCACGGAGCCCGGAGTAGACACACATGGCCTCAAACTGGGCTCTGACATCATTAGCATTGAGATCCAACCTCTCTGTGCCTCAGTTTCCCCAGCAACAAAACAGGGCTAATCATAGCAAGGTTTTATGAAGACTAAGTGCATATAATGGCATACAGGCATGTAAATGGTCTAGCATATAGTACATGCTTGATAAATTTTTGCCAAAATTATCTGTAATTGTCCACCATAATGTGGAGCCTGGAATGGATTCCTGGGCTCCTCTCTCCCTCCACCCATTTTCCAGGAATAAAATGGGCAATGCCTGAGTTTAGCCCAAGGTCTTAATTCTCTGTGGCTCTGAGTTATATATCCTGGGATCCATGCGTTAGCTCTCTGCTGAGTGGGGAGCCTGCTTCTCCTTCTTGCTCTCCCTCTGTGCTCTCTCTCTCAAGTAAATGGATAAAATCTTTAAAAACAAAACAAAAACTTACCACAATGCTAAAGAGGTAAATTTGATCAATGTCCGCATTTACAAATAAGGAAACCAAGGCCTGGGGTGAGGCACAGAAACACCACTAATCACTGTTGCCCGATGTCACCCAACCAGCAAAAGGTAAAAGAGGATACAAACCTTGGTCGGCCTCATTCCAAAGCCCTTGTTCCTAGTCCCGATGCTCTGCTGCCTCCCATTTGCTCCTGTTTCCTTGGAGGATTTATACACTAAGGATATAGATCTGAGTGTTCCCATTTTATACATGGAGAAGTTGAGGCTGAGAAAGATGCTAAGGCCGCGCAAGTACCTTTACGAGAGATCAGAAGTGGGGGGGGCCTTTGCCTGACTTTTATCTCTGCAGGTGCCAATCAATACAAGTACGGCAAGAACCGAGCTGAGGAAGATGCCCGGAGGTACCTGGTAGAAAAAGAGAAGCTGGAAAAAGAGAAGGAGACAATCCGGACAGAGCTGATGGCACTGAGGCAGGAGAAGAGGGAGCTGAAGGAAGCCATCCGGAATAATCCAGGTACCTACATGGGCGTGTCCTGGGCACTCAAGTTGGGGGGGAGGGGAGCACGGGCTCAGCCCTGACAGCTGCCATGGCAGAGGTTAGCTGCTTCTCCAGGACAGTGTGCTTCTCCGCCCCATCTTCTTCCTCCTCCTCCTCCTCCTCTTCCTCAACTTCATTGTCATCATCCTTCCTGAGTAATGAAAGTGCCATCACTCTAGTAACTGCTCTTGGGTAAGGGGATAAAAAGGCATCACAAAAACGTGTACACTTAATATAGTAAAATTCAATCTGATTTTAGAAATGTTAAAATGTGGAAAACAGAGTGTGCCTTAGAATCAAGGAAATAAGAGACATCATTTTGAACCTCCCATTAAGTCACTCATTCAGAGAAGTGCTGAGCACCCAACTGTGTGAGACACTGGTCCTGGTGCTGGGAATGATGGACAGAGACATCCTCTTCCAATATCCATGGCCATGACCTCTGCAGGCCCAGCCTGCTCAGGGTTCCTCTGCACCCCACCTTCTGCTCTTTCCTCTGAGTTCTCTCTATAGCTGGAGTTTGGCACACTTTCAGCCTGAGGTTTGCCCACATGCTTGAAGGCAGAGGCCTTGTCCTTTATAAAATACATCCAAGGTCACACAGCCCTGTGAGAATCGAATGGAACCTATGGATCCTTTTCCCAAGGGGGAAAAAAAACCCACAATTCACAATGTTGCGGACAATTTCAGCAGCCAGAGCTCGTATGCCCTCAGAGCTCACCCACAGAGTGCCTAGGAATCCATGAACCTAACAGAGAACTTCTAGATTAAAGGATAAGGCTTCTTCTGTGTAGCCAAGAACCAGAATCTGTGGGAGGGAAGCATAAGAAGGCAGTTTGGTCTCAATATACAGAACTTTCTAAGAGTCAAAACAGGGTTTGGAACAGGCTATCTTCCTTATCGGGCTCAACTTTTTTCTATAGCACATCACTTTGTAACATTTGATTATTTTTTATGTTTATCATTTTTATTTATTTTTTCTCTCTCATACACACACACACACACACACACACACACAAACACACAAATATGAGCTCTGTAAGATCAAGGATCTTGGCCTGTTTTGTTCACTGATCTATCCCAAGGATCCAGAACAGTACCCGGTACAAAGCAAGGGCTTAGCACCCAATAAGTATTTACTGGATAGATGAATGAATGAATAAATGAATGAATGAAAGAGAGAAAGAAACTAACTTTTAAACCTGGTAAGACCCAACACACCTCTTGGCATGAAAAGATATTAATACAGGTTTGTTAGTTTAGATTGAAAAGCAACAAAATCCCAGTAGGAGCCCATGGTCGATGTAAAGCCCTGTATTATAACTCAGTTACAAGTAAGAGAAACCAAAGTCAAATTGGCTTAGAAATGAAAAGGAGGGCACCCGGATGGCTCAGCCAGTTGAGGGTTAGACTCTTGATTTCAGCTCAGGTCCTGATTTCAGGGCCATGAGATTGAGCCCAGAGCTCAGCCTAGCACTGGGCTTCACGCGCAGCGGGGCATCTGCTTCTCTCCCTCTCCCTTTACCCCTCCCCTTGCTCCCTCTCTCTCTAAAATAAATAAGTCTTTAAAAAAAGGAAAAAAGAAATTCCAAAAAAATTAAAAAAAAAAAAAGAAATGAGAGGAAAACCATAGGGGTGCCTGGCTTGCTCAGCTGGTAGAGCATATGACTTTTGACCTCAGGGTCATGAGTTCAAGCCCTATATTGAGTTTAGACCTTACTTTAAAAAAAAGAAAAGAAAAAAAAATTTTAATTGGAAAACTGAGCAATCAGGTATAGCAAGTTCCAGGAATTGGAACGATGTCACCAGGAAGTATAATTCTGTCTTCTGCCTTCCTCTGTGTTAGCTTCATTCTCTGCCCCTCATGGTGGCATAACAGCTGCACAGCTCTAGCCCTCACCCAATCCTCTCAACCACCCCTGCAAAGAAAACTTCTCTTCCCAATGGACCCCACAGAAGCCTCAGGATTCACTCTGATTGGACCAACTTTAATCTCTAAACCAACCACTGTGACCAGAAAATGGAGATAGGATCATAGGCCAGGTCCAAGTCCTGTGCCAATGCCTTGAACTAAAAGTGAGGTCGGCTCCATCCAAACTAAAGGGACTTGGAGGAGAAAGGTGGTTTCCCAGGGGAAAATCAGGGTTCTGGATCCAGAAGGTGGGGAAACAGATACAGGGCAGGTAAAAATGACACAACCCAGCCTGGAGCTGGAACCCCAGGCCCCAAGTCCCTCTCCAAATTGGGACTGAGGGCTTGGAAAAGCCCCCTGGGAGGGACAGACTAGAACCTGAGGTCCTGCCAAATTAGCTGAGGCTTCAGGCCAAGCTCAGCTGTTTCTCTGCCATGTCTCTGGACACAGGAACGAAGTTACAGGCTCTGGAGGAGGCCGTGGCTGCCCTGGAAGCTCAGTGTCGGGCAAAGGAGGAGCGCCGGATCGACCTGGAGCTGCGGCTTGTGGCTGTGAAGGAGCGACTGCAGCAGTCCCTGGCAGGGGGCCCGACGCTGGGGCTCTCCATGAGCAGCAAGAACAAGAGTGGGGTGAGTCCACGCCCATGTGGGCCGGGGTAGCTGCTTCTTAAATCCCTCATGTGCTATAGATCTTCATGGTCACTCTTTGCGGGTAGGAATGATGCTCATTTACAGATGAGCAAGTAGATGCCCAAAGAGGAGCGGGAACATGCCAGAAGACAGCCTGCCAAAGAACAGGTGGCACTGCTAGGGAGGGGACCGTCAGAGAAAGCTCTGGCCTGTGTTGTCTCCCCCAAAGCCCTGCCATTTGACTTTTTATTCTGAATGTGATCCTAGAAGTAGCCTTTGGGTTACTGGTAAGTGTAACTACGGTATGTTGAATAACAAGTTTGTGTTGAACAATAACTGTATTGTAGGTCAATAACTGTACTGTATGTAGGTCAGTACAGCCTTTAACTCCTGTTATCTCACCCGATCTTCACGGAAGTCCCGGGAGGTAGGACACTAGGTATGTTGGCACCACTGGATGGACAAGGAAACGAAGGTCAGAGGTGCTGAGGGACTTATGCCAGGTCACTCAGTTAAGTAAGTGGGAGGCAGGATTCGCAATGCAGGAAGACTGACTCCAGAGCCCAGCCTTAGCCACGGTGCTTATGCCCTGTCTTAGGGTTCTCAGTGTACCAGGTGGTCCTCTGGGCTTTGCATAGCCGTGATCTCCAGGGCTCCAAGCACCCCTGCAAGGTAGATCCTCTTGCCCCAAATGAGAGCTCCTCAGGGAGAACTTGGCTGACCTCCGTCTTGGTCTGAAAGTCTCAACCTCAGCACTACTGATATTTGGGGCCAATAATTCTTTTTATAGGGGACTGCCAGGTACATGTAGGATGTTTATCAGCATTACGAGCTTCTGCGTGCTAGATGCCAGTAGTTCCACACCCACCCAACAACCAGAAATGCCTCCAGAAATTGCCAAACGTCCCCTGGAAAGGCAAAATCGCCCCTATTTGGGAACCACTGGTCTAAATTGCGATGAGTCCAATGTGTTATTCTTTCTCATAGCACTCGGCCACAATTTGTGTATACGTATGTGTGTGTGTGTGTGTGTGTGTGTATTTTTGTGTCCTTCCTGGTCTAATGTCTATCTCCCCAATGGGTTGTATAGTTTTATTAAAAATTGGACTATGCCTATTTTATCATTATAACCTTAGCGCTTCTACAGAGTCCGCAAAATAGGAGTGCAACAAATGTTTGTTGAATAAATAAAACTCAATGCCTGCTTTCAGAAAAGGACAGGTAGATTCAAACAGATGAAATAGCTTGTCGGATAAGTTTTGAGTTGCCACCGCCTGGTCAGACCACACCCCACGTCTCCAAGCCAGGCTGTGCCTTCTGCCTGCAGGCTTCCTCTCCTTGGGGCTTTCCAACCTCAGTTACAGATGAAGAGCTTAAGAAAACAAAGGCAAACTCACAGAGGGCTGGAGGAGGAGCTAGAAGTGGTTTCACTCTTCCCAGCTGCTTCTTCCCACCAATGTGCCCTGAAATTCACATTCCAGATGGCTTTTCCCAAGACTTGTGAACCTTTCTGAAGGCCTTTGGAGAGAAAGAGATGTCTTCTCTAAACTCCCTGCAGGCTTAGCCGTTAATATGCCACACTTAAAGAACTACAACCAGTAATGTACTGAGCAACTATCTGGAAAAGTTAAGGGGTGAGGGCACTGTAGAAGAGAAGGAATATGGGAGAGGTGAAGAGAGAGAGGGCGGTAGGGTTTGAATCCCAGCTCACCAACTGTGTGACCTTGAGCAGTGACTTGACCTTCCCATTTGGCTCATCTGTAAAACAGGGTGACTAATAATGGTACCTACTTCGTAGGTTTGGAAAGTCTAAATGAGCTAATCCATGCAAAGCCTGGTGCATAATGAGGGCTCCGTAATTCTAGAGGTCAATTACTTTCATTTCAAGGCCCTCAAGGGGCCTTCCTCCCCTCGCCCTGTTTGGTGCTGGCCTAACAGCACCTTCTATTTGCATTCTTTGGAGGGCAAGCCAGGTGTGGGAAGCCAGCATTAGGCCTCACCTATGTAACTATTTATCCTCATTAACAGGAAATTGCAAATAAACCCCAGAACAACGCCCCAGAACAACCTCTCCCTGTCAACTGTGTTTCTGAGCTGAGGAAGAGAAGCCCATCCATCGTAACCTCCAACCAAGGAAGGGTGCTACAGAAAGCCAAGGTATTGCAATAGCTCAGCGAATCAAAATTCAGAGATCTGGCAGCCCCCTTCCTACAGAACTCCACCGAGAGGTTCTTGGCCCCACCTCTTCCGGTTCTAGGTCCCAGGCTCGCTCTGTGATACTGGCCCACAGTCCAGTCCTCTCAGGGCCAGCTGTGTTCCAGAACTTTGAGGATTTTAGAAAGATAATATGGTACATGTACTGTGTATGATGAAAAACCCCAGCAAGTTCTCAGGAAGCACTGTGAAAGCAAACATGTTAAGTATTCTACAAGAAGTCACATAAATATTCACACCATGTGGAGTAGATTATAAACAGCCTCACATCAGCTCAGGTCAGGTTTTGCACCAATTGTGCCGAAATGCGTGGCTCAGTCGGCTCAGCTGAAGGATCTGCCTTCAGCTCAGGTCATGATCCCAGGGTTCTTTCAAGCTCCATGCTCAGCGGGGAACCTGTTTCTCTCTCTCCCCTTGCTCCTACCCCCTGCTCATGCTCTCTCTCTCTTTCTCTCTCAAATGAATAAATAAAATCTTGAAAGGAAAGAAGGAAGGAAGAAAGAAAGGAAGGAAGGAAGGAAGGAGAAAAGAAATTGTAGACTTGAAAAACTAACACCTGAGCATACGGACATGAGATTAGAGAAGTAAACAGCCAGAGGCTAGATCATCTAGACTAGACATCAGCAAACTGTAAAGGTAAATATTTGCGAGCTTATGGACCACAGAGCTTCTTTCAGAATGACTCAGCTCTGCCACTGCAGCAGGAAAGTAGACAACTTGTAAACAAATGATGGAATGGCTGTGTCCCAATAAAACTTTATTTATGGACACTGAGATTTGAATTTCAAAAAATTTTCACATGTCAAGAAACAATTTTTTTTTAATATTTTATTTATTTATTTGTCAAAGCAGGGGGAACTGCGGGCAGAGGGAAAAGCAGGCTCCCTGCTGAGCAAGGAGCCTGATGCAGGACTCGATGCCAGGACCTTGGGATCATGACCTGAGCCGAAGGCAGATATTTAACTGACTAAGCCACCCAGGCTCCCCAAAAATTATTATTCTTTTGATTTGTTTTCAAACATTTAGAAATGTAAAAACCATTAGTTTTTGATGAACACGTTCTTAGTTGAAAACACACAGTGGGCCAGATGGGCCTGTGGGCCAGTTTGTTTCTCTTTGATCCTTGTAGGACATCGGAAGAACTGTAAATTTTGTTCTAACATAATGGAAAGTCATTGGCAAGTTTTGAGCAAAAAATATGTGGATATGAATTACATTTTTAAAAGACCATTCTGGGGACACCTGGGTGGCTCAGTTGGTTAAGCGCCTGCCTTTGGCTCAGGTCATGATCCCCGGGTCCTGGGATCATGTCCTGTATTGGGCTCCTTGCTCAGCGGGGAGCCTTGTTTCTCCTTCTGCCTGCTGCTCCCACGGCTTGTGCTCTGTCTCTGACAAAATCTTTAAAAAAAATTTTTAATAAAAAATAAATATTTAAATAATAAAACATAAAATAAATAAAAAATGAAAGACCATTCTGGGGGTGCCTGGGTGGCTCATTTGATTAAGCGTCAGACTCTTGATTTTGGCTCAGGTCGTGATCTCAGGGTCATGATCTCAGGGTTGCATCGGACTCCACACTGGGCATGGAGCCTACTTAAGATTCTCTCCCTCCCTCTGCCCCTGCCTCACATGTGCTCTCTCTTTAAAAAAACAAAAGCACACAAAACAAAACAAAACCATCCTGGAACAATGTTGAGAACTGATAAGGAGACAGGGGAGACCAGTTAGGAGTCATCCAGATGAGAGATGAAAAAGGTGTATGGGGTGATTTGAAGTGGCTGGCTTTGGAGGTAGAGCCAAAGGATTTGCTGATGGGGATGTAAAGGATAAGGAGAAGAAAGGAACCAAGGATGACTCAAAGTCATTGCCATGAGCAACTGCAGTTTAGATGGTGAAGACTGTGAGAAGAGCAGCAGGTTGGGAGTGGGGAATCCTCCCAGCAAGAATATTCTTCCAACCCTCCCATGTAACCCTGGTTTACACCATCACCTCCAGAGCTGGCTAGAAACCCTATGCATCACTTGTAGGTAAAAAGCCATTCACTACTGGCCAGGACTTCAGTATCCCTCCCAGATGAAGTCCTGCATGGCTTCAGGGGAAAGAAGAGAGCCCAGTGGGCTGCCTGCGTTCACCCTTCCTTATCAAACTGCTTTGTCTTTTCTCTCATCAGTCTCCTACATCACCCCACCCCAGCATTAGAGCCAAGCATAGACTGGCTTCAGTTTCCTTGTCTGAGAAAGACAAACTTTGTGACATTTGAGCCCCCATAAAACTCCCCACTCCCCAGAGTGGAGAAAGGACTTACTCATGGCTACCGAAGGAGGGTGAGACAGGACCCGTGGCTCTCTGGCCAGTGGAGATCTTTATGTAATCAGGTGCAGTGGAATGTTTATCTTGTAAGTCACACTAGAATGTTCAGCAACCTGATTTGTCTTATCTTTCTGGACTTCAGGAATGGGAAATGAAGAAGACCTAGAAAAAGGATGAAGATTTCATTCCAAAGGAAATACAAGATTGTATTGGAAACACTTTTTTCACAAGGAGATGCCAGGACACTGGAAGTAGCCCCCACTGGAAGCAGCCTCTCCAGGGCACCCAGAAGACCAGCTTTTCCTGTCTGCATGATTACAGGGGAAATGGGGAGGGAAGAAATGGAAGGGAGGAAGGACATGGAGGGCGTCCTTTTAACGTCCCAGAGGGTGGAAAACGGGGATGGAGGGAGATAGAAATCTGCACCACTGTAAAGGTTTTGTTAAATGTCTTTGCCCTCACTTCTGAAGAAATGAAAGCCCACGTGAATAAGCCATTCCATCCCATTCTAGCGTCCCCCTCCCAGGCTATAGGGTAAAGGAAGACAGCGCTGAAGCATTAGTAGGTAGTACAGTACAAAGAGCCAAGCTTTGATCATCTGATCACACTTGTGCCAAGTGGATTCATGTGGGGCATCACTGACAACCTCTGGGCAACATAAAGAGGCCGAAAAATCAATAGAATTTCCCTGCCTGCGTGAACGTGAACAAAATCTACAGACAACACACAAATTCTGCAGTCATTCCTTCTGTGTTTCAGAGCTGGGCGGGTGCGGCTACCAGAACCCTGCATTTGAGGTGCTTTCAAATTAGAGATCTGCTACGCAGCAGGCGATGGGAGGCTCAGCGGTGGACTTGTTTTCAGTCCACAGTGATAGTGACAGGAACCTGGATTCCTAATGTCCACAGGATGGTGCAGGCATTGTAGGGTGGGGTCATTTGTAGTCAATCAAGTCCTTTACCTATTTCATTTGACACTCAGGCTCCAGGAGCTAGGGCTAGAGAACCAAGTGACGCTCTGTATGTCTTTATCCTGATTTTGCACTAAAAGGCTCTCCAGTCTGCACTCCTGTACCTGCTGTCAAGGAAAAGTATAAGGGAGAATCAAAGGACGGTGGCTCATTTCTGCCAGGAGTGTCTTTTACTAACACTTGATACTTTTATAGGGAAGCGGGACCTCAAGTCTTGGGCAGTCTCCTTACTGTGCTACTCACTGCTTTCTCAACACTGTAGGCACTTTTTAGGTCTTTATATCTCCTTCCAAAAAAAGATAAAACCAGTTAACTGCTAAGAGCTCAAAGGTTAGCTCCAGAGAGAGACACACACACACACACACACACACACACAGAATAAACTTTGGACACTTTACCCTACCTAGGGCTTTACATACTTCTGCCTTATCCAAACTTTACCACCCTTTGAGGTAGCTGAGGACCAGAGCAGGGAAAATAGCCTGACCAAAATCACCTAGCTGGTCCGTGGCAGAGGAAGAGACTTAGGGCCTGTGAGCCTGGATCCAGACAGAGTTGGATTTGAGCCTAGCCTCTGCCACTGCCCAGCTGGTTAAGTCTGGGAAGGTCCCCTGACCTCTCATTCTTTTCTTTATCTACAAAACCCAGGTTAACAGTTCCATATCCTCCCCCCACCCCCAAGATTATTGGGGAAATTCAGTGAGATAGCACAGGGGAAGCATCTTGCACTGTCTGAGAAAGAGGAAATGCTCAGTCAATAGTGGCCCTTATTATTAGCTAGATAAGAAACGTCTGACTAAAAACCCTGTGTTCTTTCCACTGAAGAAATGATGTTTATATGATAATCACAGCCATCAAAAAGCTAAAAAGCAACTAATCCATAACTGACAGTTTTCATCCAGATTCCACTTATCTTCAATGAAAAAGGAGCTCACATAATCTACATTGTTAATGTTCTTTTTTAAAATGTGGACCCTGGAATGACACCCAACACCCCAACTCTGTCCTCGGTGTGTATTCTTTCTCGTGTGGTTATTCTGCGGTTGAGCATTTTTCCCCACTGAAAGACCTTGGGAATCCTTGAGAGGGGAACAGTGAGCGCCCCACGCATCAGCTACTGTGTTAGCCAAGGTTCACAGGCACACAACCTGTGCAGTCACAAAAATTAGTGGGGCCCTGAGCTTGGTTTAGTGCTCTGCTGTTAACCCTCTCAGTAATTTTTGAACAAGGGGCATCACGTTTCCCTTTTGCCCTTTAAATTGCATAGCCAGTCCTGGTGCTAACTAATCACTTTCCCAGGCATTTTCCCTAAAACTCTGTGACACAGGCTCTATTACCCCAGTTTTTAGTTTGGGAAACTGAAGCCCAGGGCGGTTATGTAACTTGCACAACCCAGAGTGGTTATGTAACTCGCACGACCCACAGTTAGTTAAGTGATGGAGCCAGCCGCCCTTCCTCTTAGTCCAAGGTTCCATTTCATCCACGTCTTACCCTACCACCTGTCTTGCACTGCAGCATTCAGAAGCACACTAGCACTTCATAAACAGGGTAATGAAAGATGTACATATGCAGCACATTTGGTATAAGCTAGTTAGCTAAGAGAAGTGCAAACAAAGTGGCTAAAACATAGATGCCAGTCCTCATATGTTAAAATGCCTTGTTTGATTTGTTTTGTTCTGTTTTCAAGGTATAGGCTCATGGGTCTAGGGGGATTTGAAGCTCTATCCTTTCCGACACTGCCAAGTGTTGGGACTATCAGGATTTCTGGTATCCCTAAAACCTCAGTGGGGGACCCTGAGCAGGTGTACCAACCTCTGAGCCTCACTTTTCAGAAATGTAAAAGCGGATCATAATCCCTCCTTAACCCATGTTGCTCTTCTCCTGAGGCCAAAAGGAAACATCAGGTGTTGGTTACAACACATTTGGACTGGGCCTTGAATAGAATTAAAAGATGCAAAAGTCTCCAGCTCTGTCTTCAGGGAACTCACAGACAAGTAGAAAGAAAACCTGACCCAAACAGCTACAGTATAAGTAAGCCATGCTACAGTGAAGATTTAGAATGATGAGAGCACACTTCCCATTTCTTAAATATATATATATATGTGTGTGTGTACACACACACATATATATATATATTTAACCTTAGGGAGGATCCAGGAACTAGCCTGGCAATTCCAAATGCCCTTAACTCCAATCACCAATCTATCCTCACTTCCTGACAGTTTTCCACACTAAATCTCTCTACAATTCATCCACTTCATCCTATCTCCACTGACATCAACCATTAATTCATTCAACAAATATTCGTTGAGAACCTACTATGGATACCTACCTACTGTACTAGATGTCAGAAATCACCACTGTGAACAAGATAGACACCCTCTTGCTCAAACTCTAGTTGGGAGAACAAAAAGAAAACAAAACAAAATACAAATATGGAAACAGAAATTGCAGGACACACCTAAAATAGTAGCTACTTTAGATAGGGTGTTACAAAGATCTATCAAGGGGTCCCCAGGACAAGAGTACAGTCCTCCCCTTGCATGGACTAGTATGACAGCTTGTCTCCCTGCCTCTTTGTTTAGACCCAGCATCATACAGGAGTCAAAGCGACCCGTTAAACATGTAAAGGTTTTGTAACATGTTCGCATTGCAATCAGTAAGACTCAAGTTCATGGAGCAAAAAATCTGGGTACTACATTAAGAAACTGTTCCATCGTTCATTGGCAATACCGACTAATCTCTGTCCTAATGGAGCTCACATTCAAGTGAAGGGAAGTGAGAAAATACACATTTAAAAAAATAGCGAAGTCAGAAAACAGGGGAACTGGAAGAAAAAAGCAGGTAAGAGTAATGGCGGAGTCGGGCTTTACGTTTTTTTAAATCCCTCTCGGGACCCGTTTCGCTCATTGTGTTGTGTTGCCGGCCCCCGTTCCCTCCAGTAGTTCGGCGCCTTACTCGAAATACACTCTCCCGCCTGACTGGGATTTTGCAGATGCTGTTTACCTCTACCTGAACTACTTTCCTCCTCCTTTAATCTACTCATTCTTCAGCTTTCTGTCAAGTGTTTCCTCTGGGAAAACTGCCGACACTCAGCCACAACGTATTCTAGGCTTCCGCGGCACCACGGCCGTGGTTAAACACCGGTCATATTTTGACTTTAAGTCGCGTTTGCATTCACTTATGGTTTACGATTTCACGTAACCTACTTGAGGGTACAGCTGCGATCCCCTGTGGTGACCGCGGATTTCGCGACCAGAACGGAGCCTAACTCCCGCCACAGGAACCCGCCCTGCGAACTCAACTCGCTGGGGACCGGAAGTGTCGCATTTCGTCGGGGACACCGGATAGGCACGAGCACCGCGCGCAGGGACAACCGGAAGTGTGGCGTACGTTCGGGGTCCTGGAATGGGAGCGCCCGCGAAGGCTGCCGGGAAGCGTGGTATCGCGCTAATCTCGTCATTTGGAGCAATTGCGCATGCGCTGCCTCCGTCAGCCGAGATCGGGAATATGGCCGCGCGGTCCGTATGGGCGGTCCGGCGGCTGGTGCAACGCCTCCTGGCCTCTGGTGCCGCGTCCGAAGGCAGGTGAGCGAGGCAGGCCGCGGGTCGCGGCTTGAGGGTAATGCGAGACAAGCAAGCTGGAAGGGCGGTTGTGGGCTGGAGGGCGCGAGATGACTCACCAGACCTCTCGGCTGTTCGAGTCGGCACTCACGGCCCCATTTTACAGATAAGGAAACTGAGGCATACAGCTGCGTTTCCTTGCCAGGCCAAGAAAGAGCCGAGATCACGTTCCTTGGAGGTGGGAACTCTTCAGCCCCGAGCATCGACTGAATTGGGGATGTACGTCTCCCGGCCCCTTTTCCTCCGGCTGGGGTGTCTGCAGTTACATTGAATTTTCCCCGCCGACTTCCCTGTGTGACCCTAGGCCAGTCCCTTCCACATTATCTCGGCTTCACTTTACCTGTCGGTAAAAGGAGGACGGTCGACTTGGTCTCTAAATGGCTCTTCCACCTGAGTCTATGAAGTTGCGTTTGCTGCTCTTCACCATCAGCTACGGCACCTTTTTTTTTTGATTACTTATCATGCCGACTGTAGAACTTTATGGGTAGTTCTTTTTATTCTCCCGTTCAATCGAGAAAACGGAGGTTTAGAAAAGTTCAGTAACTTTTCCAAACTCAGGGCTCTAGAATCGGCTCTTTTAACTAGTGAACAACGTTAATTATCCTCAGGGCGACTCCGTGTTTGACTGTGTGTTATTCGGAAAGAATAAAAATGAGTGAACTGTGGGGTGAGTAAGGTTGGACTTCTGAAGTGTAAATTAAGCTGCGGGGAATCCGGGAATTTCGCAAAACTGTTTGCCGCCTTTTTATCTTTACACACTTGACCTAGCACCCTGCCCTAGCACCTGGGTGCGAGATTGAATTCTGTTGAATTCTGGGTTTCGGGCTTTTTAAGTCTTTTTGGCAGTTTGTGATGTAGGGAAGTGACAAGAAGAAAAAAGTTAGCTTCTGATAAAATTTCCCCTCACTCCAGTTCTGGAGCAGGAGGAACTGAAGGGATCAGCCTCAACTCTCCGCTTCAGACTTGGGCTTTGGCCGTTTTCTCTTTAAACTGGCCCTTGGAAGTATTATGACCTACTTTCAGTTGGATAAATGTAGTTAGTTGAGGAGGAAGGAGGTATTTCACCCTGTGTGATTTGCCCCAAATCTGTGGTGACCATATTTTGTGAACCAGAAATGTGGAACCGTTCACAGTCTGAAACCAGATTGTAATAACTGAGTTCAGGGCTGGCCTGGAAAGTCTAGGACATAAAAGTCATCTTGCCCATAGCTTTCTACTGACTTTTCCCTCTCCCTTGCTTGAAGCAAACACTTTTTACTCCTTTTAAATCTTTGCATGGATGTCACCTCAATGTCTGCTCTTCGGTATATGCCGGTTCATAGGAGTAAGTTATTTGTTTTAAAGACCTCTTGTACTCACAGATTGATTTTGTTGATTTTACTTCAAATTATGAGAATCCAGGAAGTGTAATGGAAACTTCCTTGAAGGAGGAGTGAGAACTGCTACAATCCAAGATTTGTAAAGTAGGCCCTGCTCTAAAGTTCTTCCTTTGTAAACAACTATACGTCAGACATTTGAGCTGTATGAAATTCTGGATTACAAACATGATTGAATACAAAGATCCATTTTATTCACCTGTTTATAGTTCACAGCCTGGAACGTATAGTGTTTATAAGTGTTTAACTGACTTGATTTTACACAGACGTGAGTTCCCAAGTCAGGATTTCTCTTAACACAGGTGCTCTTTCATAAGAGCCTAACTTAGGAGCTTGTGGTCAAGAAAGCTTTAGAATTCTAGGCCTGACTCCAGTTTGACACAGTCCCTTTACTGGGCTTCATTTTCCCCATGTGTAAAATGAAGGATTGAATCAGAAATGTATGGCTTTGTGTTTTGATTTACCACTTCTGATATTGCCCTGCTGGTTCTGGGCATAAGAACTCGGTTTTCTCTTGCTGACTTTTGCGTCCCCACTTCTAGCTATTTCTGCTGCCTTGTGTTCAGTATCCTGATTCAACAGAATACTGGTTATGTGGTCACAAGCCTCTCTGAGCTTCAGTTTTCTCATTTATAAAATTGAGATGATAGGGGAGCCTGGGCGGCTCAGTTGGTTAAGTGTCTGCCTACCGGTCAGGTCATGATCTCAAGGTCCTGGCGTCCGGCTCCTTGCTCAGCTAGGAATCTGCTTATCCCTCTCCCTCTGCCCTTTCCCACCACTCGTGCTCTATCTCAAATAAATCAATAAAATCTTTAAAAGAAAAATTGATAATATAATTTCTCTCACACACTGTGAGATGAAAAGATCATTTACATAAAACCTGACAGTGGTGACTGATACTTAGTAACTTTATACTTTATAAGTGTTGGTGGTGTTACTGTGACCGCAAGCAGTTTGGCTGTGTGTGATGGCATTTCTTCATGTGCCCCCCTCCCTCTTG